CCCTGCCCTTGACGACGGGCAGCGCGCCTGCCTCCCCGCCGCCACATGTCCGACAGTCCAGAGACCGCTCCCCGCGGAAGGGGCCCTCCGGCAAGATTTCCATGACCCCCCCCCCCCCGTGCGCGCGTTCCCTCGCGCGACTCGAAACGCCGGAACGTGCCAACTTCGGAGCCTCCCCCTCCGACGGCGTCGACGTCGCCGCGTGCCGACGTTTTCGCTCCACGCGCCGCTGCGATTTTCCCCGAATGAGCTCTCGGCACGTGGGGCGAAACGTCGGGCCTTCGTGCCGAACGACGCGTTCGTGGCAACCCGAAACGCTTCCGGGACGCGTACGGCAAACATTAGGCAACAACAAAAAACCTTGCCGAGGAAATACAGTGCCAAAAACTGAAGCGTTTGTGGGAAGGACTTTGAGCGATGCACGAGTACAGGACGCAGACACTTCAAACGGCGGACCCCTTGTGACCAGGCGCTCAATGAGGAGGTTACGACGGGGCGCAGCGTCGCACACTCCACCGTCACGCGTGTGAGCACACACACACACCCACGGCCATAGAAATGGGTGAACTTTTCCCCATAAACCCTTCTGTCAATGTGGCACGGCGTCGCGTATTCCACTTGCTCGGGACCGAGGTATTCGAGGTCGGATATGCGAACGTCTCTAGAAGACGACCAATTACATCGTGCGCTAATACCTGCACCGGGCGGTTAGTGGGTCAGGGCGGATATGCGACGTTGCCAAGTGCCATTGTATGTAACGTGTTATTTTAAGAGCTTACCCTAATCTGGCTGGGGCTTCACGCAGTTGAAAATCCATCTTTAGTTGTAAATTAAACATTGCTGTATTTGCACAGAGAGATACTTCAACAAGTCTCGAGACCGCTCGCCGAAAGATTCCGCCGTGGAATGTTTGGCCAGTTCCTTGTTCAGTATTTATTGAATGTCCGTTTAAAAAGAGAAAAACCACACGGAAGATTTGTCGAGAAAAATCCCAAGCACGTTGCAATATTCTCCTCCCACTTTGCCCGACATGGCTCAAAACCCTACTTGCTGTACCGTCTCCTGCAAATGCCTCTTTGTCCTCGCCGTCTGTGTGTGTGTGTGATGCACCCAATGTTTCCACCTCTACATGACCTACAAACTCCAGCGCAGAGACGTTGAACTACAGCCACATATACACACAAAAGCAGAGCCACGGTCAAAAAGATAAGAGGCGCAATCCTGCAATTGCTTGCTTACTCCACTGCTGTCCAAAGGGCCTCCACTGAAGTTGAGCTACAGAGAGGGTATTTTGCCTACTCCTCCACGTTGCCCAGACGTCTTGGAAGAGGTGGACGCACCCACACGTTTACCCCACCATGCGTGACCTGCCGATCCCACTATAATTTAGATCGTGAGCTCAAATCAAACTGGCGCCCTCCGGATTGCCAAGCCCTGCGTGCAAAAGCCATTACACCGTGGTGGCGTCCAAAGCCATGCAACTGGGTGGAAGCGACAGCGAGTCGTGTAAACATCTGGTACGACGTTTTTATTACGAGCTGTCGCCAAGCAATTTCTCCAAGCAATCTCAAAAAAGCGAATTCTTTAGCAGCCCCAAAATAGGCTCGGTGATATACTCCAGAAGCAGGGGAACGGGCTATATTAAGCCAACATGTGGCAGCATTAGGGCAAAGCAATAAGGTGAAATGAATGCAGCAATTCCTCTGTGGCATGTTAGACATGCCTTGGCATGAAAGACACATTTTTGGTGGGTTTTGTGCAACATTAGAGGAAAAAATGTTAAAGGTAATTATTTAAAATATGATTTAAAAACCCACGCACTTTGGCCGAGTTGGAACAAAAGTATGCAGGATGTAATTCAGCCTTTATAATAAAAAAATACTGCGTTAAGAAACCACAACAGATTCAGTTCTTATGATTATCATCGCGTGTCATTTTTGCACAGTCAACCAAGACATGTAAATGAATCGTGGCATGCTTGACATGTGATCTATTATCTAAAGGTGCAACCCTCCAATATCTTGCTCACTCCACTGCTCCTAGGAGGCGCCTCCACGAGGAGGAGCTCAACATAGCTCCCATAGAGAGTATTTGGCCTACTCTTCCCACCACATTCGAACGGCAATATCTACTGAACATTTGACAGTCTGTTGGAACGTACGCGGTGTTCCTTGAACAACTAAATACCAAGCCTAAGTGCAATAATCAGCCCAAAGTTCACGGGTGATGTCAATGTATTGCCGTGCAATAACAGACTCTCTGAAGCCGAGAGCAAGTTTTGTTAAACAACGCAAGACCTCCTGCCCCCCTTTAACCCACAACAGGCGTGGCTCCGTGGCTCCGTGACTCCACCGCTCCCACATCTCGCATCTCCCCACAAAGGCACTTTCTTCTTGTGCAATACTTTTTTTTTGATATATCACAGCAGGGGAAAAACAGCAACGCTCGTAGCAACAACGCAGAGGCACACGACCGCCACACAGCCGCGTGTTACGAACAGAGGAAGTACAAGATAGCAACATGATCCTCAACGTCTCGTGCTGGTTGGCTCCGTCTCTCGTTCAACATAACACACCACCAATTCTAGATTTGAAGCTTTCGTGACTGCAAGGATTCATATTCTTAGGTTTTTTCGGTAAAGTCACGTACCTACGTACCTACGTGACTTTACCGAAAAAACCTAAGAATATGAACACACCACCACCATGGGCTCTCATGGGAGCTGCTCAGAGCGAGAACTAAACTCAAACCTAAATATGTTTTTATTTTACCAGGCAAGGCCCACTGGGCTATGTAGCTTTTTTTCAGAAGCGACCTGGATACATATGATAGCTCAACTAGTGGCTTAGGCACGTGGACATTTATAGAAGCCAAATACTCTAAATGCACGTTTCTAAATGTGGAGGGAAAAACCGGAGGACCCGGAGAAAAATCCACGCGACCATGGGGAGAACATGCAAACTACACATATACAGGCGTCAGCGCCGGGATCAGGATCGAACCCACGACCTCCTGTACACCAGGCGAGGTAGTTAACATTTCGCTACTGCAGCGCTCACGATGGCAGATTCCACAGACTCCCTCTACTCTCAAAGCAGAAATTGTCAGGTTCAACCAATGGGCACTCCCGGCCCCCCTTGCTGGATGCAGGCCTCCCCACGCAAGTGCCGATTGTGGGGGTTGTGACCATACTTCACCACGCTGCGGCTTCGTGAAGCTAGGGGAGCGTCGAGGTGACACCCGCAGAAGCACAGTGCGTAAACGGATTTTGATGAACTGCACTCTGGGTGCTCACAGTTTTGGCCACGCAGTTCAACTTATAAATGTTGCTCTTAGCTTGGAGGCTGGTGCTAAACAGATCAGCAAACTCTGTCTGGGAAAACTGTTAATTCACAGCAATCGTCTGGTCATTAGTGATGTGTAATGAACACAAAGCCAAATCGTAAGCAGCGGATCCGTAACAATACTATGTATTCACCTGGTGACTATTTTACATCGGGATGTTTGGCCAATTCCTTTTGTGCGTGTTTTGGCTTTCATGCGAAGGGAATTGGGAAATCCCGGAGAACACCCCCCCTCTCGATGCGGGGGAGTGGCACTCAGCAATGCTTTCTCCTCGGACGCTTTTGGGTTTTCCATCCAACATATAAACCAGGCTCCATTTCGCCTGCTGAGCTTCCATAAATCAGATGCGTTCAGGAGGGGTGGATTAAACTACAGTGACAACAACAACAACAACTTAAAGCTGACATGACACTACCGTGAATATATACACAAATGCGCCGAGAATATGTAAGGGTCAGCATGAATTTTCACTGACAATGGACTCCGCACGAAGCCGCCACAACCACCACCACAACGACCACCACCACGACCACCACCACGACCATCCGTCCACCGGTACAACTGAACCAATACCGCAAGCAATGAAAACGTAATTTGGCAACAAACACGGAATTCTCTCGTCGACAAGGTTACGACTTGAAGTGCTGAACGAACGTAATCTACACGGTTTTGGCGAGAAAATAAAGCAATAATTATACACTCAAAGAAGCTCCCAGCGGCGATTTAAATAAACATTGCTGATTTTGGCGCGTGCATTTCCTTTCAGGTCTCCCCGAGAATAGACGCGCCGACTCGATACACTCCTCCCGCGTCTGCTTTAAGTCGAGAGGATGATTCACACGGAGACATTACGGCCAATACATACCCGCCCGCCCTCCCTCCCCCCACGTCCCCCGAGTCCCCCTTGCAATAATAAGCATTGACGAAGCTTAAACATAGCCCAGCACAGAAATGGGACTCGCTTAACGCTAAATGTAAAACAGACACGGCCGTCTAACGAGCACGGTGCACAACTTTTAGGAACTGGCGTTTAAGGAATCGGCGCTTGTTCACAACTCTAAAAGATAAACTACACGGCAAGCTACTGTTGGTGGGGGGGGGGGTGTCCCTTCTTACAGTCTCGTCAGGCAGCGTTAATTATGTGGTGGTGGAGTTGGTTGCGATGGATGCTTGCACAACGCCGGTTTGACTGGTGCGACATGTCTGCACGTGCCCGTCTCGCGAGCCACGCAATTATAATAAATCGTCGCAGCAGCAGCAACAATCATCGTCATCATCATCATCACCGCCTCCTCCTCCTCCTCCCTCCCGCGACGAGTGGGCAAGGACGCTCCTGGAAAATAAGGGGGTCACGCGACTCGCCAATGCTCCCGCGTGTGTCAAACGAAATAGCCAAACGTGTCACCGCGCGTGTGTGTTGCGAGCCGGTCCTGGGCCTCCCCTAGGTGGACTCGGCCTCAAATTAGTGCCTTGCTGCGGTGTGTAAACACCGCTCACCGGGGAGACAAAGGCGGCCGGGCGAGGTGCTGGCCACCCACCCGCTCGCGTGCCGTTTCACGGGTGCACCTCGCTAAACAGCACTTGCCCCAACAACCTGCCGAAGGCTATACGGGTGATCTTTGTGTGCGCGCGCGCGCGCGCGAGAGGGAACTTGCCTTGATCCCCGTAGCTCTGTCGACCGCCTTCTTCACCGTTCCGTACGTGCCCTTGCCGAGGGTGTGGAGGAAGTCGTAGCGATGTCTCAGGTTGTGCTTGTGCTGGTGCCTCTTCACCGCCTGCCTCCTCGTCTCGTCGCCGGTGACCCCGGGAGCGGGTCCATCGCACGGGACCCCCACGGCGTGGAGGGGGCTCCCCGCAGGAGACTTCTCCAAGCTGTGGCGGCTGCTCAGAACTCGGACCAGACGATTCATCGTCGTTTTGCCGTTTTGGAGCATGACTCGCGGCTCAGGTCGCCTAAGTCGGTGGTCTGGGTGCCGCGCGTCTAACAAACTCACTGCTAGACTAATCTTCGACCCTGCCACCAGACCGACCGCTCGCGCCCTCTCCAACGCGAATACAATTAGCGGGCCGGGGGTCACAGAACCGTCAGGCACCGACTGCTGCTTGCGTGCAATGCGTTAAACTCGATCATGCTCCGAGAGCTTTCAAAACCTCTCGGCGAGACTGCGCCTCTTAACTCGTCGCCCTTTGTTGGGGCCCTCTAACACTCGCTGGGTTCGGGTCTACTCGCCCGTGGCCTCTCACTCGCTGACTGGCTCGCTGGCTGACTGGCTCGCTGGCCCGCCCGCGTGCTGCGCAGGGCTCGGAGCGGTGTGTGAGTGTGTGTGGCTGAGACGCGTCGAGGTGAGCCGCTCCTTTTATGAAGCCGCGGTGATGATGTGGCCCCGCCCCTGGCAAGCCCGCCTCGAACAAACTCCCGCACGACAACAACAACGACGCTCCTGCTGTTCCTGCTGCTGCTGCTCCTGCTGCTGCTGCTCCTGCTGCTGCTGCTCCTGCTGCTGCTGCTGCTCCTGCTGCTGCTGCTCCTGCTACTGCTGCTGCTCCTGCTGCTACTGCTCCTGCTCCTGCTGCTCCTTCTGCTGCTGCTCCTGCTGCTGCTCCTGCTGCTGCTCCTGCTGCTGCTGCTCCTGCTACTGCTGCTGCTCCTGCTGCTGCTCCTGCTGCTGCTGCTCCTGCTGCTGCTCCTGCTACTGCTGCTGCTGCTACTGCTGCTGCTCCTGCTGCTACTGCTGCTGGTCCGGCTGAGCGAGTTTTGATGCACGGCAGCTTTTGATTTCAGCCGGAGGTGTCCGTAGCCGAGCTCCGGAAAATAATTCTCCGCCCCCCCCCCACACCTTCTCCCGCAGGCGGGGGGGGGGATAGGGGACCCCTGGAAAATATTAAATATTCCATGACCCCAATGATTGATATGTTCCAGCCATTCTCAATCCACTGATGGATGGATTCCTCATGGGGGGGGAGGGTGGGAGGCGGTGTGGGGGGTTTGGGGCCTTACCTCACAACTCGGGTCAGGGCGGTGTGGGCAGGAGCGGTTCGCCGCCACCAGCAATCAATCGAACTTTGGTCGCTCAATCTCATGAATAATGATTTACTATACAGAACACGCAGGCGTATTACAGAACTGCACTGTGTCTAAGTCACACTTACGCGTGTATCTGGTAGAGTTTAGCGATTGGGCGTAGCGAACGCGGCTATTGTGTGAGCTAGATTCCGGGCCACGGCTAACATCAGTGGCGAGTAATACATTGATTCCAGTCCTGGGCCATCTTACCCGCCCCCCGCACTGACCATCTTGGAGAAGTATGGACACACAATTAACACCCGTGATCGGCACGGCGTGGGGAGGCCTTCGTCCAGGGGCCGTCAACTGTACAGGCACGATCAGAACCGGTCCAAATAACCTCGTTGGACCAGTCAGAACCTTGTGATGACTGAGCAAAATTGGTAATCCGCGCAGCGTTTACGGCGTCAATCTGAGCCGCTTGATTTGGTCGGCTCTAGGAGTGCGCGTGCAGCAGCAACGCGTTGCCACGACCCCCAGATGGTTGCCACCATGAAGGTCAATCGATGAAAAACGAAACGTCGACTTCCCCCTGTCCCCGTCGGGCGAAAGTAGGGATTATGTGCTGCCGTTCGCTGCGGCACATTCATCATCATCATTAATAATAATACCGTACAGAAATAATGTGCAGTTTTAAGTGCAGCACCGTTTGTGCAAATTGCAAATCTCACAATCGCTGAGGAATGAGACTGGCGGGCTGGGAAGGTACCAGCCACGCCGTGACGAGCCGGCACTAACCACAATTGTCCAAGCTCTGCGTTGCTCTATCTATTCAGATGTTTTAATCCCATTAAGGAGTGTTTTGTACACATTACAGCAGTTTCGTTGAATTCGGACATACGTATACAAAGGAAGGAACAAACACTTGAATATGCGTGGATTATGTAACGCATTCCAAATAGTTTTTTTAACAGATGGATTTAATTAACTGTAAAGAACGCGTCTACCGCCATGTCTGTCTTTACAAGTACAGAATTTCATAATAGGTATGGAAGCGTTTGCATATTTGCAAAGTGGTATTTTTGTTTCTTCCCCATGGTTTGTTTCTCCAAGGGGCGCCGCTGCGGTGGCGAGGAGAGGGCATCTCCCTCGCCTGCAGGGCAGGGAGCTTGCAGGTTCGATCCCGGACCCTGACGACGCCTGTTGTTATATTTGGAGTCCGCGAATTTTCTATCTTTTCCCCGTGGTGGTCACGTAAATTTTTCTCCAGGGCCCTACGTGTTTTGCCCTCCACAGTAAGAAAACATACGTTGAGCTTATTTGGCTGCGAAAATGCATCCCACGTGTAACGATATACGGCACCTTCTTGGTTCTTTCAGTAAAGTCACGTAAAAGGGAAGTAATAAAATAATAAAAATAAAACATAATAAAATAATTCTCACGACGTTTCGGCCACAACGCAAGCAGCCGTCCTCAGGTGAAGAACAGGTCTGTCGGAAAGACAGCGTCTTCATTCAGTCTTCCCGACAGACATGTTCTTCACCTGACGACGGCTGCTTGCGTTGTGGCCGAAACGTAGTGAGAATTATTTTATTATGTTTTATTTTTATTATTTTATTACTTCCTTTCTATGTGACTTTACCGAAAGAACCAAGAAGATGAATCCCTGCAATCACGAAAGCTTTAAATCGAGATATACGGCACGTCAATGGGCTATCATGTGTGAGCATGATAAAAAAAAAGAGCTCAGGTGACCCACCCCTGCTGTGCAAAAAGAGCTTCAGAGCTCATCGGATTCCTCCTCCAGTCGAAATAACAAAAACAAACTCAAGATTCTGGCTATGCCGAGGAAATAAAATAAAAAATATATAGTTTTAGCTGCTTCTGTTTAAATTAGGTGAAGCCCATGATAGCAACACAACCGTATTCGATACGAGATGCTGCTAATCCTGCATAATGCACAGGCATATTATGACTTTGAAACCCCCCCGCACACCTGCTACGCATTCCACAAGTAATAACTAATCTCATATCTGCATTTCCCATAAATATGCTAAATTCGTCTTGATATGCAAATTCTTTTGTCAAGACGCTCTTCCCCCTCCAACCCAGCTTAAATATACGCTCCAATCCTGGTGGTGTTTCATTCAGACGCTGTCTTTCCGACTGACCTGTTCTTCACCTGAGGACGGCTGCTTGCGTTGTGGCCGAAACGTCGTGAGAATTATTTTATCATGTTTTATTTTTATTATTTTATTATTTTTCTTCTACGTGACTTTACCGAAAGAACCAAGAAGACGTATTCGATAGTTTCCTTAAAATCGGGGTAATTTTTTTACGATAGGTTAGAGTTCTCCCAACCCAATAAACGCCTTCCTTGTAAGACAACAACAGACAAAGATTCCCCGTATAGCCTGTAAACAGACTGTTGTGGCAAGTGCTGTTAGCGAGCACCTATGAAGACCGGCAGGGCTCACGAGGGGGTGGGTGGCCAACACCACGGTAGGCCGCCTTCGTCTTCTCAGTGGCGATGTTTACACATCACACCAGGTACTTATTTGAGGCTGAGTCTACGTAGGGGAAGCCCAGGACCGGTTCAGATAATCATCACAGGCGTTTGCCGTGAGCGGGAATAGAACTCGGATCGCCGGGTTCGTAGCGCAGCGCGCTAAATATGAACGTACCTTTTAATTGGCATCGAACAGACGCAGCTGCAAGCAATGCGGTCCTTGAGATTAATTCATAAACGTGGCCATGAAAACGGGTGAGTATCAGCTCAGCAGCCGTCGTGCTGGCAGCTCTCGTCATCGACGCGGGTGCCTTAATGAAGCCCTCTCACGCGGGCGGGCCCCGCTGTCTGGAGAGGCCATCCGCCAAGGCAGGGAACCCAGAAAAAGGTGCCTCTGAATAAACAACGCATCCACCCACGGCGCTCAATCCCATTGTCGACGGTGGATTTCGCCGGATTAGAGGGCCGTTGTTTGGCTGATTATACACGCGGCGTGATGCGGCAGTCTGACAGCTTAATTATCGTGAATGTTCGGGGCGGCGTGGGGGGTCCAAATCAGGACACCGCAAGGGCCGTTTGTTCTATGAGCAATTGATGTCGTCTAATTTCGACGTGTACACTTGTCCGTTCACTGTCGAAGAGAGAGAGGAGAGGAGAGGACGACTCAGAGGCGCTAGGAGGAAGACCCACAGACGAGCAAGGAATACAGCAGCAGCAGGCAGACGAAGCTAAACTTTTATTTTATTCTACCAGGTAAGGCCGACTGAGTTATATAGCTCGTTTGCAGAAGCGTTCTGGCCGAAACTGATAGCTCAACGGAGTGCGCAAATTTATAGCAGCCAAAAACTCTAAACGCACGTTGATTCTAAATGTGGAGGGAATATCCCGACGGCCACAGAGAAAATTCCTCGCGACCACGGGGAGAACATACGACCTCCAAATATACAGCAGGCGTCAGTGTCGGGATCAAAACCACGACCTCTCGCACACCAGGCGAGGGAGATAACATCTCCTCGTCACCTCGGCGAGATCAGCCGGCGCTAAATCCACCCCTTCCCAAGCTCCGCGGTCCTTAACATGTGACGGTGTTATCGGCCAATGAACGATGGTTTACACGTGGGAGGAACCCTACGCGTGCGAGGGAGGCGGCACGTCTACCCAGACGTGTGGAGGGAACACGTGGAGGCCGCTCTCGCCGTAGCGCCATCTCGTGGCGAGCCATGGTACGACATCTACTCGACTCTCGCGGGATGGGAGTTGATAATTGTTTTTTTACCCTTTTATCTGGAAACAAAACGGACTCCTTTTTTTACAAGGAGTCATGTTTGCATAGACCACAATACCTGCAGTCATAATGCAAACAAAAAACACAACTCTGATAATGTATGCACTGTCCTTGAAGTTGATTGGTCCACAGCCGAGACAGCTTTCCTTAGAGCCTAGTCTCACATGGTGTTGGACCAGATGACGCCAAAAGGCGTCATCTGGTCCAACACCATGTGAAGGTGTCAGTTTTGTTGCCAGATAAAAGGGTAAAAAAAACAATTATCATATGTTTTACTGGCAAATGAGGTTCCAATGGCGGGATGGGAGTTGTTACACCGAATCTGTGTGCGATTCACCAACCCCCGCTGCTGCCTCCAAAGCGCCGGACCACCGCCTCTCAATTTTGATCGCCTATCATTTGGATTTCCCAAATCTGCTGGGTTGCGAGGTGAGAGACCGGCAGATGGCAGTGCAGCAAGCGGGTCTGACAGGATCTTTGCGAGGCGTGTCGGGTTATCTCATCGTTATGTGTCTCATT